CGTACACACCAGGCTGCTAGGACGCGGCTAACCTCAGCTCCCGTCGGCTTCGCGCGGCGCATCACGGCTTGCGGGGGGGGGGGACGAGGGGCGACATCCATAGCTCAACATGTCACAATATGAAAATATTTGCATTTCGATGACAATGAAAACATCAGCACTTTTGAAGGACCAGAAATACTTTTCAAAATTTTCCCAGTAATTTCACATCTTAATAACAAATTTCAGGAACTGTATCTCCCAAACCAGGACATTTCAACTGATGAATCATTGACACTTTGGAAAGGCCATCTATCTTTCAAACAGTACCCCCTTCTCAAGGCATCCAAATTTGGAATTAAAATTTATGAGTTGTGTTACTCCACCACGGGGTATTTATGGTCCTTCCTTGTATATACAGGCAAGGATACAGCACTTGACTCCCCCTTGACCACAGCAGACACCAATAAAACTTCAGCCATTGTCCTCAAACTGGTAGAACCTCTCCTGAAACACGACCAGACTGTGTGGATGGATCTCTAGCCAGGCTACCGAAAATCACACACAAGACCGACTGTGTTGGGACACTGAACTGTAATAATGTGCCACCAAAAGTGAAAAACACTAAACTAAATAAAAAAGCAAAATCGTGGCACAACATTCTGGACCTGTTTCCGTCACAAAGTGGTGTGACAAAAAAATCGTTGACTATGATCTCCACTTACCACAGTCATGACACCAGGACTGTTACAATTAGAGGCAAGAAAGTGGCCAAGCCAGTTTCAGTATTGGATTACACAACAAGTCAATGATAGGGGTTGATTTGAAGGACCAGCTGCTTCACTCTTATTTGACTGAGAGGAAGCACATAAATAAATGGTACATGAAGTTATTTCGCAGGCTCTTGAACACCTCAATACTGAATGCACTGATAATATATAGAGATAACACAGGCAAAATTACAGATCAGCTGTCATTCAGAATTCAGTTGATTGAGGGACTTTTTGTGAAATATGCGAGTGCTGTGGAACATCAAGTGCCAGGTCAACATTCACCAGACAATACAGTGCCCCTTCTAACAGAACGACATTTTATAAGCAAGATTCCTCCAACGACAAAAAAATCTAGACCAAAGAAAAGGTATGTTGTGTGTCTTACATGTTCTCTATCTAATGTTTAGTCACTGTCCTTTCTGTACACTAGGAAATAACAAAAAATTTGTCATGACAACCATTCACCTTTTGGCAGTTACTGAGGCATCTTAGCTATATTAAATTTATTTCAAACAATTCAAACAAAGGGCAGCAGTCAATACATCTGCCAAACATTGTCACAAACACT